TCCCGGTCGGGTCTCGGCGTGTACCTTTTTCCCCTCTTCGGCCCACGTCAGGCCGCGGTCCCGACCTCTCACCCCTGCCCCGCCGCTTCTCTCCCGGAGGGCGGTCACTGTAGACCCCTTTTCTGGATCCCGCGGTGTTGGAGGCGGAGTCCTAGCGGCCTCCGAGGCGGCTGGGAGGTTCCACATTGGGCCCCACGCGGGCCAGCCGGCTGGGGTCGCGTCCGACCTAGGCTAACCTGGAAAGGCTTTCCCTGCCCCGGGCTCGAGGCTTAGCCCGCAGACCTCCTCCGCGCGCCGCCTGGAGTTTGATTCTGGCCCAGGCTGGCCTTCCCTCTGGCCGCCGGGTCTTCCCTTGGCGGTTACGGGGAACGGGGCTCTGAGACCCCTGGGATCCGGGCGGAAGGAAGGGACTCGAGTGCCGGCCTCCGGCCCCTCGGTGTTTTGTTATGATGGAACCGCTCCATCCCGGAGAGTGGGCCAGACCGAGCCGGGAGTACAAATGTCCAGGCTGCTCCTCGGTCCGGCCGGGAGCCTCTATGCTTTAGTTCCGGGTGCGGGTGCCCTGATGCTTGGGTGGGAATTGCTTGAGTCTGGCCCCCGTCAAGGCGGAGTTGGCGGCCTTCCAGCTTCCCTCCTCCGTGCCCTTGAAAAGGAGGAGCGTTTTGCCCGGTGGCAGCCGCAGCTTGCGAGGTGGCAGGTTTGAGGTTGCAGTGGTGGGGCACTGCCAGCCAAAAATAACCATGGGTCGCTTGGGTGGCAGGAATCCGGGAGGGCAGCCGCTGACCTGGCTGGCTGCTCTTCTTGTCAGCCCGGTTCTCTAGCCAGGAGCAGCAAATGAGAAGCCAGCTAGGCCTGTGCTCAGAGAAAAAGCTGGCATCCTTAGCTTGGTTTCGTTGGTCACATTGCTTTTTTTCTTCATTGTACAGAGCAGAACCTCCTAAAGCATGATTGTGGCTCTTTAGTTTTAAAAAGCCTCTCTTTCTGCTGAGGTCTCAGAAAATCAGAGGGAATTTATGAGAAATGAGCCCAAAAGCCCTGGCTGGGATGATGACGTGGGACACCTGGTATTTCCCATATATCACCTGTTCAGGATGAGTTGCAAGGGAGGTGATCTCCATTACTACTACCCTGTGTGTGGTACTTAATGGCCGTCATACTTGGCCTTCTTTGCCAGGTGTTATCTTCATTTTCCTGGCATGGCAACAGAGGTCTAAAGTGATTTGTATAAATAAGGCCACAGGGCCAGTAGTGGCAGCACTGGGATTGAGTTCAGGGTTTTCTGCCGAAACTTCCTACCGGGTCCCTTGGAAAGGATTATAAATTAAGGCATTCATCATAACCCTGAGTGTTACCTGGAACCTTCTTAGGGTTAATGAAAGGCTATATTTAGTACTTATTATGGCCCAAACCTTTTCTAGGCTTTTGACTTTATAGGGCAGACATATTTAATTCTTCTAGAACCTTTAAGAGATTATTGTTTCCTTGTTTCAAGAGGAGGCTGAAGCTGAGTGGTTAATAACTTGTCTAAAGGCAAACATTGACGTGGTAGTGCCGTGGACTAGGTTGTCATTGGACTCTGAAGCTGTGACTTTCCTCTCAAGTAGACACGTGGTCATGAAAGATTTCTAGGTCTCAGAAGGAAAACTTTGGCCACGTGTATGTTAGACCATATCACCACATCCTCCAGATAGGGTGCTTTTTCTGCCTGGTGAGGATGGGCAGGACCACACTTGTCTTGAGGGAAGATATGTGCTCTGGTCAGTAGGATGTCTTTTGGGTCAGTTAGTGAGACATGAGATACTGCTTTCAGGCCATAGCTTGAGCACCTGCTGTAAGATAATTGGGAAAAAACAAAAACAAAATGATTATTTAGATGATTGTGAAAACAACAAATCTACAGATCTTATGTAGTGTTTATCTCTGAGGATTTCTGGGTGGCCCAGACTTTTCAGATGGAGGGTTGCTAGTGGGGAGATAGAAGGCAGTGCCTTTCTTAGGGTCCCCAGAGACTCCCAGTGGTTTAGATGAATTGGCCTCCCTGTCCTGCTCATACACAAGTAGCTGTTTCATTTTTGAATTGTGTTGGTGAGGTGAAGCAGCCTTGATGGATTTGTTTAAAAGGTGCTTGGCCAGGCAAGCCTGGGACTGTGCAAGACTAGAGGTTGGGTGTGAGCAATTGCTGGCTTGGAAAGCAAACAAGCAAAGGTCTCTTGCCTGGCCATCTGGTGAGGAGAATGTGAAGGGGCAGGATATGGGTGAAAATGGTACCATCCTCATGTAGCCATCTTCCTCAGCTGGTTGCTGATCCAGCTTGGGAGTCTCCTGTACTGGATATAAGTCCTCAGTGGCTAGGGGTAGTGAATCGAAAGCCTGCTTCTGCTTCCACGTGTAGACCTACAGCCACGTCTTCTAGGCACCTCCAGAGATAGTCTCACGAAGCAGTGATGGTCAGGGGAGCTAGACCCGATGGCAATGATGCTGTTGCTGAAAGTTGAAACACCTGGTATGGGACTCTAGTTGGTCTGAGGGCCTCTAAAATGTGCCTCAGGCAAGCAGCTTAGATTCTCTGAGGATTGTGGCACCTTCCTGGGCTGAGACTGGATGGGCCAGCAAGGGCTGGGCAGGCCCTCTGGGCCTATGCCCACTTGGCTACACCTTGGTAGAAGGTAGGGAATGTTGATGAGACATTGTGTCTTTGCTCAAGGTTTAGTGTTCTCCTTTCTACTGTGTCTTCTCACAACTTCGAGTTGAGTCCAGTTCAATGCTTTAGCAAGGCAGCTTGCAGTTTCTGAAACCACTAAGTACATTGGTTCCATGCCACCAGTTCATTAGTTTCAGGCTCCTAGAACATTTAGGTTATAGGATTCCATAGGCAGGAAGACATTGAGCAAAGCTCTTCTTTCCCCCTGTCCTAGCATCTCTGTGACAGTGCTCAGAATCCCCTAAGAGATCTACTTCTGTATCTGGGCCCTGACTTATCCAGTTCAAGTGTTCAGGCCCCTAGGCCATGCTGGGGAGGCACCTGTTTGTTTATTCACTGGCAAAAGGATGGAGTCACCCATTGTCTGCTGTTCTGTTACTGTGACCTCAGAGTTCTTCTTTACTTCATAAACCCGGGGGTAGGGGGGTTGCCCCTAAATAGAACAATGGGCCTCTTCTTCAGGAGCACCTGGCTGCACCAGGCAGCCCTGTGGCTGGAAGCAGTGAGCTGTGTGTTGAGCAGGGCTTTCTCTTTCTTGTGGCCTAGATGCATCACTGTAAGCGATACCGTTCCCCAGAGCCAGACCCATACCTGAGCTACCGCTGGAAGAGGAGGCGGTCTTACAGTCGGGAGCATGAAGGTCGACTACGATACCCATCCCGAAGGGAGCCTCCCCCAAGGAGATCACGGTCCAGAAGGTGAGTGGGAGCTGGTTTGGAAGGAAGGAAACACTTGTTTCCTCAGCGAGATGAGCAGATGGCCCAGAGGCTCTGGTGGCTTTAGGTTCTTTTAGATGACTGCTTCTGCCCAGCTGCCTGTGGATCCTTGCCTATTTCCTGGCCTCAGCAGAAGCTACCCTCCTTGTCACCCTTTCTTTGTCACAAAGTGGTCCTTCTTCTCCCTCTGTATTTTCTACACCAGTACCCCACCTATGAGCCTTCCTCAGTGGGAAGTAGGAACATTGTCCTAGCCTTAGAAAGACTGGTCCCAAGTCCTGTCTGAGTCCCCAGACCAAAGTAACAGTTGTACCAGGCTAGTCAACTCTGTCACTGTTGGAGGCCTTTCTCTATGCTTGCTCACTTTTTTTTTTTTGCTTCCTCACTCCTTGTGGCATGGAGGAGCACTGTCATTACCCAAGGCTCTGGAGAATAAGCTTGGTACCTTTGCACCTTCTCTTTTGTTTACTTCCCTCAGCTTGGATGCTTCAGCTCTGACAGGCTTTCCCTTAAGAGCCTTTGCAGGGGCCCTGCCAAAGGCCTCTTGCCTGCTGGCAGGAACCTGGCTGGTAGGACCCTTCTTGACTCGTGTCCTCACTTCCTCTTGGCAGCCATGACCGCCTACCCTACCCTCGGAGATACCGGGAACACCGTGACAGCGATACGTATAGGTGTGAAGAGCGGAGCCCATCCTTTGGAGAGGACTGCTATGGGTCTTCACGTTCTCGACATCGGAGACGGTCACGAGAGAGAGGGCCATACCGTACCCGCAAGCATGCCCACCACTGTCACAAACGCCGTACCAGGTCTTGTAGCAGCGCCTCCTCGGTGAGTGGTGGCCAGAGTGTGCTAACAGAGGCCTAAAAGCCTCATCTCTTTCTAGCCTTCTCTCAGGCTGCCTGGTCTGGGTGAGTACTGGCAGCCCTGTGCACACACACCATTGTGTGTGCACACATTTGTGTGCGTGTGCGTGTTTGGTACAGGGCTAAGCAAGGATGTTATGCCCTCCATCTTCTGGCCCCTTGCCAGTGGCAACTGTAGGGGCTCTGGCTCCGGCGCTGGCTGGTTTCCAGCCTGTCTGTGTCTACCCATTGTTCCAGGCATAGGCTACATGGCACACATGCCTGGGACACACTTCTCAGGGATCGTACTAAGATTGCTGGTTTGTGGCTTGGGGTTTATATGCCTTGTTCCCTTCATCTCCCTGCACATTGCTAAGTGCTTTGAGTGTGGACTTGACCACCTCTGTCGCCTCACTTTCAAACCCTGCTTTCCCAGAGGACCAGAGTCTGCATTACCCAATAAAAAGGGACACTTTACGAGTGATATTTTTTTCCTCTTTTAAATGCTGGGAATCCGACCCAGAGCCCATACATACTAGGCAACTGCTCTACCACTGAGCTATGTCACATCCCAGTCCCCATGCTTCCTCTTTGTTTTTGAAAATCTTGTTATGTATTCCAGGTTGGCCTAAAACTCCTGATCCTTTTGCCTCTACTTCCTGAGTGCTAGGCGCCACTGCCTGACTTCCTAGCCCTTTCTCTTTTTTGATACGAATCTTGAATTTCTGTGTTGAACCTTCTAAGTTGATGGTCTACAAGAGCACATCACTTTGCCCTGTCAGTCAGCCCAGATGGGGAGCTTCCAGTCTGACTTCCAGCCAGGCTCTCTTCTGCCTTGTTCCTTGATAGGTGGGATACTTGTGGTGAGGAGAGGCAGCTATCTGTGTGATGGGCCCCCAGGCCTCACCTTGTTGCAGACCACTTAAAAACAGAGGTTGGCCAGCATTCTAGGGTGGTGGGGTGAACAGACCAAGAGCCAACCCTGTACTCAATCCCATGGAAAAGGAAAGTCACTTGTATGTTTCTGAGGTTATGTGCTGTCTTCTCTGCTCCCCATCTGTTCTCCCCATGTTGTCCTCCTGCTGGCCAAGAGGCCTATGAATAGTAGTAGTGGGTTCATTGGAGGTATCTTTTCCGCTCAGTGCTCTGTGACTTGCGTGGCATGGGTTGAAGGTTGACTCTTGCAGGTGAGTCCAGCATGGCCTGTGGCCTCAGACAGTGCCACATGCTGCCACAGGATGGCAGTGTAAGTCTGTTGCTCTGCTTATTTTTGGTGCCCTCTGTCGTTGTGGGACGGGTTTGGTTTGTGAGTGGCACAGGTCCTAAGGCCAGGTCAGGAGCTGGCTTGGGGCCTGAAGGTCGGCTGTCCTGGAGGATCTCAGCCAGGCTCATTTCCTGCTGGAGACTGGTGGCAGGAGGGCTGCTGGCAGAAGGCTGTTTATGGTAGTTGGTTAAGTCTGGCCAAAGATGTCATGTGGGGGCAGGTAGTAGTTTGGTTTTATGTGGCAGCTGTTGAGCATGTTGTAAGGTTGTGTGGGCGAGTAGAGGCAGGCAGGGACAGGCTGAGCATACTGCTGCAGATACTGCTGCAGCTAAAGCCAGGATAGCCTTCTGACCAGTCCAGAAGGTTGGACCAGTTTGGGCCAGCCGCCTTTTTGCGCCGTTTGCTCTCACTGTGTTTTCAGCTCTGGCCAAAGTCATGGGAGGGTCAGGGCGGGGGAGACTCAGAAGAGGAGGGAGTCAGGGCTGTGGCTGTCCTTGGGGCCTGGCCCCTCTGTGTCAGAGGCTGGACATCTTTCTGAGCATTTGTGGCACTCTTCTTAGAGATAATGTCCGAGTTTTCTTACATACCTGTAGCTGTTTTTGCTTTTCTGTTTTGAAGTCAGTTTGTGTCTTGACGTGTCCCTTGCAATATCCCTATCGTTATATATGCTGTGTGCCTTATGAAATGCTGGGATCTGGAAAATCCAACCAACCAACCCACCGGCTCCTCACCGTCTCCACCTCTGCCTTTGACTGACACCTCAATCTGTCAATCGGAACCGCCTACCATGCGATTGGTCGGATGGCGTTTCGGGGGGCGGTGCATGCAGAGAAGCCAACAGAGCAGTAAGCGCAGCAGCCGGAGTGTGGAAGATGACAAGGAGGGCCACCTGGTGTGCCGGATCGGCGATTGGCTCCAAGAGCGATGTACAGCCACCTTTCGTAAAACTTTACCTCTCTACTTTCTACCCCCCTTGTTAGATGAGACCTCTCCTGCGTGGAGGGGCCTCTAGTGCTCGTGGCTCCTTAGTGGGGCCACCAGTAATTGCCTGAATGACACAGACACTAGCAACTTCTGTTTTTAAGAGTGTAGCAGTGAGCAAGAACCTTTGTTGTTTTTGAGGATTTGAATGCTGTGAACTTACAGGAGCTGCCAGACTCCCACCCTCCAGACTCTCATGCCCAGCTTCTTCTCTCTCACAGATGAGATCGTGGGGAACCTGGGTGAAGGCACCTTTGGCAAGGTGGTGGAGTGCTTGGACCATGCCAGGTGAGCATGTTAGAACAGCACAGCCAATTCTGGGTGTGAGCATCCTTGGAAGTTTGGGGTTCATGAGGGTGCAGCTCTTTTTGATGGGTAGCACCAGTGCAGGATGTATGTGTTGGGTTTTGCTGATCTCATGAAGTAAGGGAGAAATTCTTGGAGTTTGACGGGCATGTGACATCCTGCCCAAGAACTTTTGGTTATCTCTGCCCTTTCTGAGGTGTGGCATTGGTAACAGGGCAGGACCAAAGGCCTGGCTTATGTGGCCTGTTGCTGTATCCCATGAGCTTTTAGAGATTTTTGGCCAGGCATCATCCTTTTTTCTGGTTTCTTGGGCAGTGAAAAGGACAGATACCAAAGTTCTGGGAACCTTTCAGCAATTCAAAGTGAGTCAGTACAGGCCAGTGGAGGTGGAATTCAGCTCTGCCAGCAGCCCTGGAAGGGGTTTCTTTTGGAATGAGTTACACCCATGTTAAAGATACAACCAATGTAGGGGGACCTGGTCTGAATTAATGGCTTCTCTTTCTCCCTCTGGGCCAGGAGGTTGATCTTTGCCCCTCCCATGTCGGCTTGAGAGGTTCTAGCCAAGGGAAATCAGACTCTGGCCTTCTCATCCAGCAGCTGCTGCCCATTCCAGTGTGGCTAAGGTCTTGAATAGTCCGTGTTGAGTGTGTCCAGATTGGGGAGGCAGTGACTTCCTGTGTCATTCTCCTGTGGCCACATCTCTCCCTCCCATCCTAACAGTGTAACACTTATCCCCTATCATCTGCCAGACTAGGATCCTTGCTTTCTTCCCTATAGCTGTAGGTGAGAGGCAAACCTCTGGGAATCAGTTGTTCTCATGCCTAATAACCTCTAATTGCTTTAGTGCATTAGCAAAAGAGTACTGGTGTCCTCATTTGAGCCATGCCAGTCACTGCTTCAGAGATGAAACAAGAACATCCTCTGAGGTTGCCCAAGTTATACCTCAGCCATTGATGACTGAGCTGGGCCTGCTGCTGTTCATGGTTCTCCCACATTAAGTGGGCTGCTTAGAAAGAACCATTGGACCGAAAGTCAGCCATTCCTTCAGCCGTGAGTTGAAGTCTAATGTGACTGAGAAGCTCCCTTCTGCTCCCAGTTTCCACTCAAATACCTGTTCATCCACCATGACCCAAGAATGAGTGTAGGGGCACATACATACTGTCCTGTGACCAGATGTAGACAGGACAGATCCAAGAACTCTTGACAGCAGGAAGACAGCTACAGTGTATGGGCTGTTCCTCTTTGAGTAGCTGGGGATGGGAAATGAGCCTGAGGTCACTAGAGGACCGACATAAGGTCTTGGGAACGTTTAAAGAATTCAAAGGGAGTCAGTGCAGGCCAGTGGTGGTGGAGTTCAGCTCTGGCAGCATCCCTGGAAGGGGTTTCTTTTGGAATAAGTTACACCTGTGTTAAAGAGAAGGCCGGTGGGGGTGGGAACGGGGACTGTTTCAGAAATCTGAAGTAACAGCCATTCCTCGGCCTGGAGAAACCAGAAAAATGAATGAGGGCTATCGAAGCAGGCCATTCTGAAGAAGTTGCCTTTGCCTGTGGGCCTATGAACTTGTTTCCAGCACCAAGGCCAGTCCTTGAGCCACCAGAGGGTACACCCTGATGGGTCAGGGCCACCTCATTCCAGGTCTTCATTGGCACCTGAATACTAGCTCTCATTGACTAGTCTTGGCAATCCAGCCTGGCATGTTTCCTTGTCTGCTCACACCCTGCACACGGCCTGCTAGAGTGGGTGGGAGTAGAGTATGAAGGGCAGACCAACAACAGTGGGAACTCTTGGGACACTGATAAAGAGTTCCTGGCCCTCTATAGCTGGTGGTAAATGCTGAGACAGTTAGATAGTTGGGGGGGGGGCACACCTGGATTATAGTATAGGGAGTGACCCAGGCTTCCAGTGAAGAAGTTAAGCCTTACTATTGCCCAGGTAAAGAAAGTATGTGGTTGAACTCTGGGTAGGGCAGCTTGGCCTACAGGGGTAGGTTATCAAATACGCTTCCAGGGGCTGGGGTTGGTCAGGATTGGCCTCAGCTCCTCTGGATTCTTCTTGGGGAGCTAGAAATTTCTGAGAGCCTAAAGGTATATGATAGCATGGAAACCAAGAACATTCATACAGATGTCAGGGGATCTTGTATGGTGATCAGAAGTCTGGTGTTGCTTTTGACAGGCTGGACCTCAAGTGTAAACACTGTCTCAGGATCTGTGGTTTATATAGTGGTGTTATTGAATTGCTGAGGGGAGAAAGCTGAACTCTTGGCTGATGAGAGCCTTTACTTCTTTCCCGGTCTACAGAGGGAAGTCACAGGTTGCCCTGAAGATCATCCGTAATGTGGGCAAGTACCGGGAAGCTGCCCGTCTAGAAATTAATGTTCTCAAGAAAATCAAGGAGAAGGACAAAGAGAATAAGTTGTGAGTGTCTGCAAGGCGTGGGAGGGGTTCACTCAGTGGGGTAGCATCCTCTAGTTGTAGCTGCCTGGACCCTAGGGATTTCTCAGTGTCGCACAGGAGTTTGGTACTGCTTTCTCACAACACTCAGTCAGGGGAGTATGATGGGTCTTTCTGGAAAGAGCCCTTGGATTTCAGGCTCTACCCTATCTGGCTTTGTCACACTTGTTTGGACCCTTAAAGAGAGATTTTCTTTGGCAGATAGATGCCAACCAATCTCTCCAAGCACTTTACTGTGCTACACTCCGAAGAGGGGATGGGATGTACCTGCTCAGGCCCTCAAGAAGCTCAGCAGTACCTGGAGACCTATACTTGGTGCAGTTCTATCTCCCCCTCAGTAACTTATGTGGCACGGCTGCTCACCATCCCAACCATGGGTGAGCTGGGACTAAAATGTAATCCCTCCACACAATAGGAAGTACAGTTCTTGCTCAGAGCCCATCTGTGTGACAGTGGATTGAAACATGTACTCTGGCTCTGAGGTTTGCGTTGTATGGTATGCAAAACAGTGGCCTTAACCTGGGGGTCAGGTGAGGTGGAGCTTGAACCCCACCTATCCTTTTCCTCTAGCCTGTGTGTCCTGATGTCTGACTGGTTCAACTTCCATGGTCATATGTGCATCGCCTTTGAGCTCCTGGGCAAGAACACCTTTGAGTTCCTGAAGGAGAACAACTTCCAGCCTTACCCCCTACCACATGTCCGGCACATGGCCTACCAGCTCTGCCATGCTCTTAGATGTAAGTGCCCAACATACTTTACCCTCAAAATAAAATCACCTAGTGTCTTGCCACCCTCCATCTCCTCTAGTGCATTGTTGATCATTCTGCAAAGTCTGTTAGAACTAGGGCCCCTGACTGAAAAGTCCTTCTGTCTTCAGTGCAGGGATGCAGGGACTGTATGTGCCAGGCTCTTTCCTGGGTTCTTAGGAAGAAAACGGGAAAGTACTCTAGAAGTTGCCTAGCTACTGACCCTGCCTTCACCTGCCTTCACCTTCATAGAAAAGAAGAAAAGGTAGAAGGTGGACCTGACAGATTTCTCCTGTCACTCAAATATCCACCAAGCTTGAAGAGCAGCTGTGATGGAACCAATGCTCAGCACACTAGGACTTATGTAGAAAAGGCAAATTGGAAAGTGACAAGTGAAGGTCCTAGAGCTAAGATGTATAGGGTCTGAGTAGGTGACAGGGGAGAAGAACCAAGTAAGGGGCACAGTTCTGCAAAGGTCTAGTGCAGAGGGAACTTGGTGGAAGTATGGCTCAGATGAGGTCATGGAGTTGTGAGGCTCTTAACTGGCCACACATGGGAACACTGAGGTTGAAAAGTAATGAGTAGTTGAACGTGCCAGCAAAACAGATTGGATGCAGAAGGCTTCCCTGCTTAGGGCTGGCTTATAGGCATGTGATCAACAATCTTACCTTTGGAGCAGTGAACCCTATTACATAGCTAGTGCTGAGGAAAAGGACTCACTAATGTTGCAGATTCAGTGAGATGGTATGGTAAGGCTCTGCCTCTAGAGAGAGTGGTAGAGGGGCTGTTTGATGGAAAGCATTCCTTCCCTCCCTGCCTTCTGAGGCTCATGAGGCCTTGCAGAACTCTTTAAGAAAGCTGGGAGGGGTCAGGCAGTGGTGTTGCACGGCCTTTAATCCCAGCATTTGGGCGGCAGAGGCAGGCAGATCTCTGAGTTCAAGGATAGCCTGGTCTACAGAGCGAGTTCCAGGATAGCTAGGGCTACACAGAGAAAACCTGTCTAGGAAAAACCTCTGCTGGGGTTGTGTGTAGTTTGAGCAGGTCTGGCCAAGAGGTGATAGGCAAGCCTGGGTTCTCAATATATGTTTCTCACTCTCCTAGTTCTACATGAGAACCAGCTGACCCACACAGACTTGAAGCCAGAGAACATCTTGTTTGTGAATTCTGAGTTTGAAACCCTCTACAATGAGCACAAGGTAGAGAGCACTGACTGGGTGGGCAAGAGTGTGGCCCTGCTCCAAGGTAGGTCACCTACCTGGGCAGACTGACCTAGCTGGCCTGCCTTGCCTTCAGAGCTGCGAGGAGAAGTCAGTGAAGAATACCAGCATCCGAGTGGCAGACTTTGGCAGTGCCACATTTGACCATGAACATCACACCACCATTGTGGCCACCCGTCACTATCGCCCACCTGAGGTGATCCTTGGTGAGTGGCTTCATAGCCCCCAATGTTGTTTATACCCGGCAGTTGTCAAAATGAATAGTTGAATGTGGTAGCACACACCTGTAATCCAAGACCTTGGAAGGTGGAGACAGAGAGATCAGTTTAGTCAGCCTTGGGCTACACAAGACCCTGTCTCAAAGTGAGGGTAATAGTACCCATCAGTCTGCTGCTCAGGACTGGACAATACCTGAGAACCCCTGACTTGGTCTTAGTTAGAAACAGCCTTGTTAGTGGGGCTTGGGCAAGAGCTGTGCCAGCCAGAGTAGCAGCTTCCTGAGGATGTGGGGTGCTGGTCTCATATCTTACTGTCTTGGCTTACAGAGCTGGGCTGGGCACAGCCCTGTGATGTCTGGAGTATCGGCTGCATTCTCTTCGAGTACTACCGTGGCTTTACACTCTTCCAGGTATAGTACGGAGTTGGTGGGCTGCAGAGAATATGGTCAGGGAGCTCTGTGTGGTTAAGGAAATGATTGATACCTTCCATCCTACCAGTTACCATGCAAGTCTAGACTCTTAAGGGTTATAGTTGCTCAGGGGAAGGAATCAGTTGAAAAGTCTAAAGCAATTAGGAGGATTTCATCAATGACAAGACTGGGTACAAACAGATTCTGTCTGGGCAGAAGCATATCATGGGCATCCTGTAGCATGAAGAACCAACCTTATATTCAGTCAGCCAGCCAGGTCCACCTGTGGGGCCAAAGAGCATGAGCCTGGCCCTGGTTCCAGGCCCATGGGCTTGCCACCAGGTTGGCTTGAGATAAGAAGAGATAGCCTAGCTTTCCTCACTCTTTATTCTCCCAAAGTGGGCAGAGGTTGGGCCTAATTCCTACTTGCTCTGTCCCTGGTCTTCTGCAGACCCATGAAAACAGAGAACACTTGGTTATGATGGAGAAGATCCTAGGGCCCATCCCATCACACATGATTCACCGTACCAGGTAAGAAGGCTCCATGGCTCTGGGTCAGCTGGGTACCAGAGATACAATACAGCCTTTGCCAAGTATTCTGTGGTTCTCTAAGGTCCTAAGAGCCTTTACTATATGTCCCTCAAACCAGTCTGGTAAAAGCTGTTTGCCCCTACTACCCTTTGCAGGGTCAGGCCCACACCTCTTTTCTGGCCCTATTGCTACCTGAAGACTGACAGGCTTTTTCCCACCTCCCACCTAAGCCCAGACCCTGAGGGCTTCTAGTCCTTGACTCCCCTTCCTTCTCATTCTTGATTTTCCAGGAAGCAGAAATATTTCTACAAAGGGGGCCTGGTTTGGGATGAAAACAGCTCTGATGGGCGGTATGTGAAGGAGAACTGCAAACCTCTGAAGGTCAGTTTCTGGCTCCCCCAGCTCAGCTCATGCCAAGGAGACAGACCCCAGGCATTGGGCAAACAAGCAACAGAGACAGGACAGGCAGCCACCAGCTGCTTGACCATCCCAGTTCTCTGTGTGAGGCAGCACCCAAGCCTACTGGGTACTGGCAATGAGGCCTTCTGCAAGCTGCCCCTGAGGGGTCCTTAGCCCTGCCCCTTTCTACAGGGGGCTGAGAATATAATGGGGAAATACACCAGAAGAGCCAGTTGTCAGACTGCTGCTTCCTGTCCCCCTCTCTTCTCTCAATTTTGAGAAGAACTAGGCAGAACTGAGGCAAGGGGGAGGGAAGACCTAGATGTGGCCATGAAGGAGGCCTGTCAACGGTTATTTGGTACCTGGACAAGTGCATTTTGCAGAGGTGATTTCTGCCCACCCATCAGAACTTTGCATGTGGGGTAGAAGCACCAACCCAGCAAGATCCCACCCGGTAGCCTAAAGTTCTGAGCATGAAAGGAAAGGAGCTGGTCTGTCCTGGAGGGCAGAAGTAGCCCTCTAAGGAGGCATCATTGCCTCCTCAACCCATTCCAGCAAGGCATCCCAGAGGCAAGGGGACTGCGGTGGCTTCCCACAACCCTGCCGTCACACTGAGGCACCTTGTGTCCTTGAGCAGAGTTACATGCTCCAGGACTCCCTGGAGCATGTGCAGCTGTTTGACCTGATGAGGAGGATGTTAGAGTTCGACCCTGCTCAGCGCATCACACTGGCAGAAGCCTTGCTGCATCCCTTCTTTGCTGGCCTGACCCCCGAGGAGCGGTCCTTCCACAGCAGCCGTAACCCCAGCAGATGACAGGTGCAGGCCAGCACACAAGGAGTTGGAGAGCTGGACTGGGCTGCTGGCCCCTTTTCTCCAGCCTCTCCCACTGGCCTCAGAGCCAGAGCCACCGATGAACAGTGCAATGTGAAGGAAGGCAGGAGCCTGCAAGGGACGGGGGGATGTGGTGCCCAGCTGCCAGAAAGCACAGATTGGACCCAAGCTATTTATATGTTGTAAAGTTATAATAAAGTGTTTCTTACTGTTTGTAACCCCCTGGTACCAGTGTGTCCATCTCCAGGCTCTTTGCCTTCTCCCTTCTTTGACTGACCTTAATAAAGTCTTTCTTAGCAGTCAGCTTGTGGAAAGCTAAGTGTGGATTGGGCCAGACACAGAAAGGCAAGCCAATGAATAAGCCAGAAGCTGGAACAACTTCTAGGACAGCAGTTCTCAACCTGGGGGTCCAATGACCCTTTCAGAGGTCGTAGACCATCAGAAAACAGATTCTTACATTACGATTCATCAGTAGCAGACTTACAAAGTAGCAACAAAAATAATTTTATGGTTGGGACTCAACACAGCATTTGGAAGGTTGAGAACCACTGCTCTAGGGCTAAGTAGATCGGTTTTAGCACCAGGATAGGGATGAGGTGGCAGACTTGCCAGACCTAGAAGACTCTTGCATCTTTCAGTCTCAAGGAACATAGCACACTGTGACTAGCTAAGCAGAATTAGGTTTTGCCTTAGCCATCGTGTCACTATGTATATATCCAACAATCATGGTAATCAGGGTAGGCTCTTAAGGATTGGGGAAACAGCACTCCCATCATTCTACAAAGCAGTTTAGATAGCACAGAACTCTTGTCACTTTTATTGTAGTGCTGGCTTTAGGTTTCCCAAGAGCTGCATGAGACACTGACTTGACCATTTGACTGAAACTAGGCTGGACCTTCCAAGAAGAGCTACAGGTAGGAGTAACACATTTTCAATAACTCAAGCAGGGGTTCAGGCCTCAGGCCAAGGGCAGAGAGAAGAGGAAGAGGCTTCTTAAAGTCTTATCACTTCCAGGGACACCAGAACTTGCTGATGAACCATCTTTAGGACCAGAGTTCTACCTCATTTTATATGTGTCTAGTAACCTGTAATGGCTGCCTGCTGTCCCAACTGTAACCCTGTGTTCAGGAAAGAGGCCCGGCTGTTGGTGGCACACACCTTTAATCCCAGCACTCGGGAGGCAGAGGCAGGCGGATCTCTGTGAGTTCAAGGCCAGCCTTAAAAACAACAAAAAAAACCCCGCAAAAAAAAAAAAAAAAAAAAAAAAAAGAAAAGGCCCAGCTTGAAAGTTACAAAGTCCTGAAGTATGCAGCTGAGGCTGACAATCCTCTGGCCTCTTTCCTGCAGCTGGAGATAAGGTAAGAGAAAAGACGATGAAAAGTAAAAGCTATCATCTGTTTGGGTCCATGTTCCTGTAAGAAAAAAAAAGATAGCCTGAAATCTATGGTACCAGGGTTTTTATCCAATACCCAAACTTTTTAGCAAGCCCATCTGTTTGTCCACCTATACCCCTCAACCAGTGATGGGTACAGCAGAAAGAAGCCTGCAGGGGGAAGAGCTTCAAAGTACAAATCAGGTCCTTGCTAAGGCTCCAGGCATGGTCCTATTCTACTAGCCTGTAGGACCCAAGTCCAGAATGATCCTGAGGATAATGCCCTAGGATCTGAGCAATGTGATGTCCCCATGGTTGAGCCCCACCAAGGTCATCCAAAACTGGGCTCATTTTTGGCATCTTTGAGACAGGTCATTAGTCCCAAGTCTGTACACCTGGGGAGGGCAACTATAAAGGGTTAAAGCCCAGGCATAAGAACTGGGGTGAGGCCATGGCATGAGGGGAGAGGGACATGTAACTTATCCTAGGGTAGCTGCAGAGGACCATTTCCAGAGATAGAAGGGAAAACAAGGAAATTATTTATGGGCAAGAAGGAGGTGATGGCCTAGGACAGAAGCACCAAGGAGCCTCCTCTGGCTCAGCACCAAACTTCCCCAGGATCTCCCCAGTACTGAAAAGCTGCACCCTGAATGTCTGGCCCCCAACTAGGTGGGCACTGTAGCCTCATAGGCACAAAACGTCTGCTAAAGATAACAGCAAAACAGCCAACCCAGAATCTCACCACAGTCATCATCCCAATGCACTCCCCAGGAAAAGTTCCATCATAAAACTGGAACATCTCAGGAGGGTCTAAAGCTTCTAAACAAACTTGAGTTGCACTGGGGGAAGGCAGAGACAGCAACCTCAGGACATAAGGAGAGCACAGCTCTGCTTTCTGGATAGCTGCCATGCAGCCTGATCTACATGATTAGAGTAAGGGTGAGCAGGCTGGCTGCAGAGCCAGAGGAAGCATGGGAAAGACAAAGCCTTCTGAAATAGCGTGGGTGGAGACCCCAATAGGCCCTGGCCCACCCCACAAGGTGCCAGCCCATGCCCAGTGGCTGTAAACCTGAAACAGTCTTAGAGCTGCCTATGTCTGTAAACAAAGCCCCACCTTAATGGAGGCATGGTAGGATAGAAAGAAGCCTGGAGCCACTGGTCTACCCCCCGACACGCATGCCAGTGGGAAAGCCTTCCCTGATTAAGGAAAGGTGGCAGGCAAGTTTTAAGAACGTTTTGTCCTCTCACAGAAGAAACAAATCCAAAAGATAATCTACAAGGTCCACAAAGCTTCACATCCTTAAGGCGTCCGTTGTCGGGTTTGGCGGCAGGAGTAGTGCAGGGGAATACAGGGTCCAGCTGTCCAGAGCCCCTCTAGGCAGAGTGCAGGGGAATGACAAACTTGCAGCCAAAGGGTGAATGGTAGTTGATGCCAACCTCCTGGAAGACCTGCTGGGGAATGCCAATGTCACACAAATAGACTCGGCCTGCGTGCTCCCCTAGTGGCAGAGGCAGGCCCAGTGCCAAGGACCATTTGGCATCAATGCCCTGCTCAACTTCATGCACAGGAGGGTCTATGCTGAGCACTGGTGCCCGGTTCTGGTTGGCCCAAGCCACAGCTGCCTTGTACCACGGCTGATCCCGAAGGAAGGCGTTCTCAGGGCAATCCAGGCAGTTGATAACCAGGTCCACAGGGCTAGTAGGGAGATCTGTAGATGGAAAGAATACATCTGAAAATTCTCGGAGCAGACAGCAGGCCAGACCTGGGCTTAGGTGGCTCCATGAACATCTGGTTTTCTAGATAGTACCACTCTAATGCCCTCCCTTCAAAGGCCAGCTTTCTCAAGGGCATAAGGCCCTTACCTTCTCTGCCTTGCAGACAGGGTTTTATAACTGACTAACCCTGATGATGTTACAAGTTCTGGGAAAGCAGAGTCAGCCCCACACATCCCCCTCTAACCAGTGTGCCCTTCTCTGGGAATTCCTCATGTAAATGGGTTCTCTACTCAGCCTAAACTTAGGAATAGGAAAAAAACAATCTGTGTCCTCCCAGCACTTAGAAGGGCTTCTCTAACAGCCAGTGAGATGGCCCAATGCCTGGTGAAGGCGCTTGCTGCCAAGCCCAATGACCTGAGTTTGACCCCCAGGACCCACAGGTGGAAGGAGAGAGCTGACTCCTCTAGGCCTCCATACACATGCCACAGCATGTGCACACCTACAAACTTAAGTAAAATGTAACAGCAAGGCTAAAAAAAAAAAAAAAGGTTCCTCTGCATAGCTCCAGTTCTAATAGGTCTTAATAATAAAAGCCTGGAGTCAGATATATTAGAGGATGAAAGCTGAAAGATCAGAGAAGCACAGCAGCCAGCCACTAGAGCTCTTACCTCTATGAAATCTCAGACTGAAAAGAGACTCTTGAGCTCCTGTCTCCTCTCACCCATATTCCTTTCTCCGCCCAACTATCTCACTGCCTATCTGTCTGTCTAGACCTCCAGACCTCTATGTTTAGTTAACTAGTAGCTAGCTCCGAGCTCTGGTCTTCAGGCAAGCTTTATTTGTTAAGAGTATAGACGAGATATTATGACACCTCTGCTCTTCATTAGGCTATACAACCTAATATATAGGTGTAAGGTAACAGTGTAAGAACAGGAAGTCTCAACATGTGTGCAAATCTTGGATTCACCTAAGAAATCATGACGGGAGCAGAGAGGAAGCTAAACTGCAGGGTCATTATCCCCAGGCCAGCCCTAACCCTTTTAGATAGCTATAAGGACTGGCAGGAACTTGGCACTTCATCAGAAATTGCAATCCATTCCCAGTATTCATCCTAAAACTCAGCCTACAGTTAATAACATCCCTCAATTAGAGATTCACAGCTTCCCTACTTATTTGCATGATTTTGAAGTTTCTGTGGGTCATGAATGGCTCAAGAGATTAAGACTGGAACCCTTTGTGTGTACACAGGAGCCTTCGGTTCTAGTCTAAGATCCTCCTGACTTGCCATGTGGCCTCTGGCAAGGTCTTTCCCTCTTTAACCATCTTTGTTCCAATTCTTACCCCATTCTCACTACAGTCAGACATTCTACACCAAAACTGTGCTTACTAAGTATCCCAGGCTCCACGCTGCTAAATCTAATCCTCAGTCTTCCGTGAATTAACGTAGAGCTCTTTCCTCCACCTGGCTTTCAGCTGCACAGGCCACTGCATCTCCTTCTCCCTCCCTGACAGCTCCTGCCCATCTCCTTGACTTCAGAAACAAAGAACTCAGTCTGCTGCCCTTCTTTCCTTTTCCTGGCTAATCAGCTTCCATACCCCCTCAACACCTGAAACTGCAGGCTGGACACTTCCTTTTATTCCAGAGTCACAAAATTTCCTGCTGAAGTGGCATAGGTCCTAACCCTGAACACTCAACAAACATCTAACTTGGGGTGTTCTTTTTTGTCAAGTGCCACTTCAGAGGAGGTACTTACTCAGGCCAAAAAATTTAGACACCCCTCTCTCTCTCTCTCTCTCTCTCTCTCTCTCTCTCTCTCTCTCTCTCTCTCTCTCTCTCTCTCTCTCTCTCTCTCTCTCTCACCCCCCTCTCTCTAAGATCTTTTATTTTATGTGTCTGTATGAATGTGAATGACATATGTGGAGGCCAGAAGAGGCTCTCAGGTACGCTACAACTGGAGCTACATGGTGTTTTGAGGTGCTATGAATTGAATCCAGGTCCTCAGCAAATAGAGCAATTGCTTTTAACCACAGAGCCATTTCTCTACCCTCCTCCCTCTTTTAATTGCACTGCTAAGGCTGGCTTGAAAGCTGAGACCTCTATGGCTCAGCATGTTTATTCCCAGAAAAGTACCTGTCTCATAAATATTTATGGAATGAGTTAGTGGGTATCCAGATCTCTCTGAGTGCCAGGAAAAGGGTAGGGCCTAGGGTATTTCCTCTAGGTCATTTAAAGACTCCTTAGAAGCAGAACATTGTGTGTGCATGCGTACATACATACACACATATTTCCCCCAGATAGATTCTCACTATGTAGTTCTGGCGGGCCTCAAACTCAAGAACCTCCTGTCCCTATGCCCTGAGTGCTGAGATTTTAGGTGTGGGTCACCACTACCCATGTGATGCCTTCCTACTTGTCACCACCAGATGGCACCACGAGACTGGCAAGGAAGCTAGAAACCATGGCTGATACTTAGAGGGCACTTTTTTTGTGAACCTAGGTCTTTACACAGAAATTAAATATTCTACTCTTGAGTTACACTCCAATGCTGAGCTCACCTCTTAGGCTAGACACTTGTTGACCTTGGGTCTTGCTGAAGAGAGACAGTTCATTGGTGATAGACTCCAGCATCTTGACAAAGTTGGGCAGGAAGAGGATGACTTGCACATCATGGTTGGCTAGGTGCCTCCCACAACTGATACCCTGAGCCCCCTTTACATGGGGCCCACATAGCAGGGCTACTGTAGGCCTCTGGTGGACATTCTTAGGATTCAACCTAGAACACAAAGTGAAGAAGCAGTTACTGGACACAGGCTGGCCAATCTCTTAAGTGCCCATCACAGAAGCAGCAAATTGTTACTCTCAGGGGCACCCCACTCTCCACTGCTGACCAAGTCCTAGGCCCCAGAGAAACCCAAGCCCAAGCCCACTACAATAGGCCTGTAGCGGGGCTCTCACTACTTGTTCTTCCCACTAGGAGTTCATCCAGAACAAGTAGCACACAGCCCTGTTTGCCAGAACTATGTTCTGACCCAAGAACATCTTCATGGGAACTGGCAGGCCCAAAATGCCATGTGGAAGAACTGCTCCATCTCTGATCTCCAAACCCCTACAGTTATTTCGTTCCTCATTCTTTACTGCGCTTGTAAGGCTCTTTCCTGCCCATGCTCAAACTGTTCTCTGGCCAAAGAGCCCTTCACTTTTCAAACTCTGAGCAGCTTCTAGATCAAGGCTCTCACCTCTGGGGGATTACTCTGACTCATTCTAGTTGTTGTTCTTTTCTCAACCCCTATTTGTCCTCCAAGTTTGCTCCTGAAATGCCAATAATCTGATGAGGACAATGCTGTGGATAACTCCTAATATTTCCTAGGGAGCTGTGTGAGCCAATGGATGAGAAGCAATTTCCAACACAATTCTCAACTGAGATTGAAGGGACCAGCTCCCCATTTCGGCAGCCATGACAGTAACACGTGCTCGCTATGACCTTGTCTTAGTCACTAGAGGTTAGGTGCCTGGCTCGCCACAACAGCCAAACACGTGCTTGCCATTAACTTGCCTTGGTCACTTAGAGGTCAGATGCCTGCCTTGTGACAAGGAACCAATTAGTAGTTAGTAAGTCACTAGAAAGTCAGATGCCTGCCTCGTGACAAGGAACCAATCAGAAGTTAGCTGGTGGCGTTATGCTTTACGACCCTGAGTGTACTTTATGACCCTGGGTGTACTTTACGGACAAGCGCACAGCAATGACGCACAGAGCATAGCAACCACCCTGGGAGGGCCTATGGGCCATAACAACCAGTTGACTGATCAATACAGGGCAAGCCCTCCAAGCCTGGAGGCACACCAATCGTGAGCCTGTGCGTACCCCTAGACACTCCCCTTACGCTGCCCTACAAGATCTCTCGGCAGCCGGTTAAAACTGTCTTTTGTAGCCAACCGCCATGGTGGGTGGACAAAAGACCCGAGCTAACATGGGGTTAGCTCATTAGGTGCTAGACATCAATCTACTTTCATGCTGCTGATGGCTTGTGGTGGGGTCTGCTTCTCCAGTGGGCCCTTCCTCACCACCCCCCACACACACACAGTACACCAGCAGTATTACCTGGGTGGTCCTTCAAGCTCTGAGCTATAGGCTGCTCCTCTTAAATCATGGTGGAGGGACCAGATCCTCACCCAGCCCCCTGCTTTGGCAGCCATGACAGGCTGCAGAAAAGACCCAGCAAGATGTAGGCCTCTGACTCAGCAAAATGTGCTGAGCTCCCTGACCTTGCCTGACCTCCTAGTTACTAGGAGGTCAGATACCCTCTATGTGGCAAGGAACCAATCAGAAGTTAGCTGGCAGGCTCTGCATGTGCTTTACCGTGATAGTGGCATACAGAGCACAGCAACCACTCTGGGAGGGCCTATAGGTCATAGCAACCAGTTGGCCAATCAACATAGGACAGGTTGCCCAAGCCCAGAAGTGCACCAATCCTAAGACTGTTGCAGACCCCTAGACACTCCCCTTGCTCTACCCAATAAATTCCCTGCCTCAAGGTCCCTTTGGGTCCTTCTCGCTCTGTCGGACAGACCAAGGATCCAAGTTAATGCAGTTAACTCGTTAAAGTATTAAAGACTCTGCTTTTTCATTGGGACGGGTCTCTTGGTGATTCTGGGGTTCAGAATCTGGGCACAACAGTGTGTTGTCACTAGTATGCTCAGTGTCAAGCACAAGGTCTAGTACACACCCACTAGTAAGACAATGCTCTGCTCTTAACAACGACCTTGGGCAGGCAGGAACTATCTCTTCTGCTAGGTTCTCAGGGTGTTTCTAGAAGTATGGCACTCAAAACTGATGTGCTTCCTACTGAAAGGCTGAGTGTCAAAGGCCAGATCTATGCGCCTTTTCAAAATTAGGCCTGTCAATTGGCAGGGCTCAAAAGCCCAGACAGCTGCTGTCAGCAAAGAAGGAAGAGGAAGGACTTCCAGGAGATGAAAAAGAGAAAGGCAAGCAAAGACTTCTGGCACACAGGGGGGCTCCCATGAGATGAGCAGCGACTGCCTGGCAGTGGTTCCTATGTGCATGTGAGGTGTTGTGGGCTGACCAGGCAAGACAGCATCACCCCACATTCAGTATTGTAAATTTAGAGCCACTTACCTGTTGGGTCCTCCAAGGAGAGTCAGTGCCATCTGACTGGCACACACACCAGTCATCTCAAGTCTCCGCTCTAAGGTCAGCCCATGCTTCTCAGCCACAGATAACAGCTTTTTATGTAGCTCATAGGAAACACTTGGGACCACCAGGCCAGAGTCTGTGGTTAAAAGAGGCAAAGAGCAAGGGAAAATTACTATAAGAACCAGGTTTAAAAAATGTGGACATTCTATGTATACTCAGCAAATGCCAGCTTTTTTGGTTTTTTTTGTTTTTGTTTTTGTTTTTTTTTTGGAGGCAGGGTCTCTCATGTAGCCTAGGCTTAAACTTACTATGTAGCCAAGGATGACTTTGAACTCCAAATACTCCTGTTTCCACCTCCTAAATGCTGGAATTACAAGTGAGCACAACCACACTGTTTATTCTGTATTGAGAACTTTGTGCATGATAGGCAAAAACTCTACCAAATGAGCTATATCCTAGGCTAAATGCCAACTTTTTAAGATCAAGCCTTGCAATGCCTTACATGACTTTAATCTCAGCAGTCCAAGGGCAGAGGCAGTCAGATCTCTGTGAGTTTGAGAAAAGCCTGGTCTACATAGTGAGTTCCAGGGCAGTCAGGACGACGTAGAGAGTCTGTTTTAAAAACAAGACCAAGCCTTACCTGGTCCATTCTCTTCCCTGAGGCTAAGGCAAGCTTGAGGAGTAAATAACAATCTATATATAACTTGGTCTGGATCAGTGGTTCTCAACCCGTGGGTCAAATGACCCTTTCACAGGGGTCACCTAAAGACCACCTGAAAACAGATATTTACATTATTATTCATAACAAAATTAGTTATGAAGTAGCAATGAAAATAATTTCAAAACAAAAAAAAGAAAAAGAAAATAATTTTGATTGGGGGTTACCACACCATGAGGAACTATATAAAAGGGTCGCAGCAGGGGCTGGAGAGATGGCACTGACTGCTCTTCCAGAGGTCCTGAGTTCGGTTCCCAGCAACCACATGGTGGCTCACAAACATCTGATATGAGATCTGGTGCTCTCTTCTGGTGTGCAGATATACATGGAAGCAGAATGGGGTATACATAATAAATAAATAAAATCTTGTTTAAAAAAAAAAAAAAGAGGGTCGCAGCATAGTAAAAGAGAATGTACTTTTCCCAAAGTGGGGGAAAAGTCACCCTGGACTATGGAGTTTTCCTCATAAACAGGCTGCTCCTCTATTCCAAGAATTAGAACAGACACTAACTAGCCCTTTGACCTCTCTGAACATGGCTATTCTAATCAATTTCTTGGCAGAAAGTTCCACCCATTTGTTCTCTGCTTCCTCTTATTTCTCTCTTCTGCTTAGTTCTTCTTAAATAAATTCAGACAGCAACTTGTTTACTCAAATAATGACATTTTCCCCCTATTTGCATACTACCCAACCTTCTGGCCACAGCAAAATAATTGTCAAGCTACTTGAACAAACATTATTTTCATTCACCAGAAACAAAATTCTAAGAATTCTGTCTGGCAGTTAGTATATTTAGAAAAGTTTATGTGGTATACCCTGCATAAGTCAGTATCTGCAGACCAGTGACATCTCAGACAGCAGAAAACCAAAGAAGAAATACCAAAGTAAAAACTTGTGATTTGAAGTCATTGCCTTAAGAACCAGGGTCTCCGTCTCCCCAGGGTAACAATGTCATCTTACAAATTTGAAAGCTGGACTGGCCCCAGAGGATCACACCCACTGCCAAAGAAGACCATTCAGCTTCCCTGTCTGAAGAAACAAACATGGGCTCTGGGCTAGAGAGACAGCTCAGAGGCTTAGAGCACTAGCTACTCTTTCACAATCAGATACAGGTTAGATTCTCAATACCCCACATGACAGCTCACAACTATCTGTAAACTCCAGTTCCAGGGGATCTGACAACCCTTCTGGCTTCTGTGGGTACTGTATATACATGGTACAGACATACATGTAGGCAAAACCATACACATTTAAAAGACAAAAAACAACAACAAGCCAAGCTCTAGTAAGTAATCCGGATTGTCTACTGGTTGTGTCTAGCATTTCAGATCCTGTATCCTCAATTATATTGGACTGCAAACTCCAAGTAGGGAGATGACTTTAAAAAAACAAAACAAAACAAAACAAAAAAAAAAAAAAAAAACACACACATCAGTAGCCATGGTTTCCTGAGCTTGTTAACTTGTTGCATCTCTGTGGAAGGTAATGGTCTCACCAATTGGTCAAATGTATAGACACAAACCTCACAGCCAAAGTTTCATGTTAACACCTAAAGAATGGCTATTCCCAATCAAGTAACTGGGAATGAGGAGTCAGGGTGCATTTGGGAAAGAACAACTTGGATTTGATGTGTTACCTTTAAGGAAGATGGTAGATACTCTAAAATCAAACTTTTTTTCCCTCTGGATGAGCAACCATGGCACTGAACAAACAAGAAGGCATAGATTAACAATTCAGCCATATTGGTAGGGATCAGCCCCGTGTGCAAATTGGGGACACATCAGTCCCTCCAGCCCTTAGTTTGACTTCAGACTCTTAAAATTGAGCTAACAAGCTACATGAGTCTCTTCCCAGTGGAACAATAACCACAAGCTGCCTTACTGTGCAGGCCCAGAAACCCTGAAGACTTCCAACGTGGATAACTTTTTCCACTCTGGAAATGAAGATCTGCTAGACATGAGGTTCTCCAAATCACTCAAATGGCCATCAAGGCAGTCTGCTTGCAAACATCTGATTTCACAAACTGGGGTCATTGCTTCTGCTCATGAGGAAATGAACACCTTGGTGTGCACAGGAGCACAGTTACAAGTTCACATGTTCTAGTCAAAACACATTGAATTCCACTCCTGTTGTCTTCTGTGTGGTTGTCCCTTGGACTGTGCTCTCTATAGCGCCTGTTTTAGCCTACAGAGGGAAAGTGCTGAGTCTTGAGGCTCATGGGGAGACTAAGGTAGGAATTCACCTTTGTGGGTCCATGGTCCGAGAGATCATGAGATGTGAATCAGTGCCACTGCTTCTGACATCCAATTCTAAGTGAGAAGCAGTTGCCTCAAGAACATTAGCTACTGCTGAGGGAGGCCTCCACATTCCTCAGTGTAAATTCTTCAGCAGCCTCTTCAACATCCAGATTGTTTTTTGGAATTCTCCTGAGCATATACATTCAAGCATAACAGATTTCCTCATGATGTGGGTGGTTTGAGACAAGCTCAGGCTGTCCTAGAATCCACTGTGAAGCTTAAGTTGACCTGGAACCTAATGCAGATCCTTCCACAGCCTCCCAAGTCCTGGGACTAACTACCTATTCTTGAGATAAATACACTGTTAGTCTTGGAAATGCTAGAAGGTTCTTGAAAGACTCTTGGTAATAAGAAACACAGGGAAGTGGCTAGAGCTCAGAGGCAGAATGGAATGCCAACTATGGAAGACAACTGCTGGGTAGGAGTGATGAATCAAATCTGCCCCAAGTGGAGGAGATGCCCCATCAAGACTCAAAAACTGTTTGCCATGGTGGGAAAGAAACATAAGACAGGAAACAAACCAACTCTGGCCAGAGGTCAAAGTAGAGCCTGCAGACCAGAGGTTAGGAGAAATGGGTCTGAGGGGATAGCACAGGAGCTAAAACCAGAGAGAGCTTAACTCAAACTTGGAAATGGATCCTCTGCAAGACAATAAACAGGTTTTTGTTGCTTTCTTAATCTCAGCAGACACAGAGTAGAGGTAGAGAATAATCCTTCAATAAAGCTGAGAAGATAGGTGCAAAGAATCAATGCCTCCATCACTAGTGCCCAATGGCCCCACCTGCCCTTTTAGAAGAGGGACATATAATAGAAAATAAATGGTAGAGGTTAGTAAAATCTCCCCATCAAACTAGAGACGGCTCGACAGCTAAGAGCATGTACTCATCTTACAGTGGACTGGAACTTAGTTTCCAGCACCCACGTCAGGAGGCTCACAACTTCCGTGACTCTAACTCCAGGGGATCCAACTCCGTCTTATGGACTCTGAGGACACTGACACTCAAATGCACATTACTCACATTCTCTCTCTCTCTCTCTCTCTCTCTCTCTCTCTCTCTCTCTCTCTCTCTCTCTCTCACACACACACACACACACACACACACACACACACACACACACACACTTTAAAAACTTTTTCCTAAAAGTTGAAAGTTTCCCCAAATGGAATGGTTCATGAATAGAGAAGAATTTATCAGAATGTGGGGGGAAAAGAATTCAAATGACTCTCAAGTCATTCTTGATCAAGTCACCTAACATCACCAACAGAGATGATAAAGATAATGATCTCAACAGTACAATCTCAGAGAGGCCATAAGATCAAATGATGTAAGTACTTGAAGTACTTTGAATGGTATTTGGATGTAGCATTATCTGTTATGCTGTTGATTATAATGCTGCTCCTAAAGTAGATGTCATCACCCATTTCAGCCACAGCTAAGCACCCCATTTCTATATCTGCATGTTTACACATTTGGCTGCTCAGCACTCTAAAGGTCCTGAGGTGACTGAGTATCTAGATTTCTAGTACTTAGTGTCTGGCACTTAGTATATCTTGTAAATGTTGATGCTTTGAAATAACCTTACTTGGGGGTCTGGAGAGATGGCTCAGAGGTTAAGAGCACCGACTGCTCTTCCAGAGGTCCTGAGTTCAATTCCCAGCAACCACATTGTGGCTCACAACCATCCGTTATGAGATCTGGTGTCCTCTTTTGGTGTGCAGATATACATGGAAGCAGAATGTTGTATACATAATAAATAAATAAAATCTTAAAAAAAAAAAGTTCTTAAAAAAAAAAAAGAAAGAACCTTACTTGAAGTAGCCTTTGCAACTACATTTAAACTCGAGTATTTACTGAGTACCCAACAGGAACTTGGAATTGTGTTAATTTTTTTTGGTTCTTTGAGACAGGGTTTCTCTGTGGCTTTGGAGGCTGTCCTGGAACTAGCTCTTGTAGACCAGGCTGGTCTTGAGCTCACAGAGATCCGCCTGCCTCTGCCTCCAGAGTGCTAGGACTAAAGGCATGTGCCACCACCGCCTGGCGGAACATGGAATTGTGCAAGCTGCTCTGCAGTTTACTTTATTTGACAATGATTACCGACTCTACAGATAAGGGCACAGACTCATTAGCTTCCTTATAATTCATGATTCTTCTCACTGAAACACACAATTACGCTCTATATCCTTCAGAGTGGCAACTTTACCTTTTTCTTTCTCCAGGCTCAACCACAAAACATTGCAGAAGAAAAGATGTATCACAAAACCATACAAAGCTCTCTGTAAAGTTAAGCAACTTAACTACAGCTAGACTCCTATGGTCATTCTTCCTAAACTATACATCCAATGCCTTTTAATCCTCTGGCTTATTCAACAGGAAGATTGAGTTGGGGAATGAATAGAGGAGAGCAAGAAAAGAGATACCTTAATAGAGGAAGCCATTATAGCTTTAAAGGGATTTCTAACCATGGTTAGGGAAAACAAGAAAAACCAGATGGTGAGGGGCTGCTGGGCTTCTTGTCCCCTTACTGCCATGCTCTAGTAGAATGCCACTTATTACTACACAGCACAAGCTGACATCCCTGTGTTCTTGATCAAGAACCAGCACCTGTGGCTTGTAGGATATTTGTTGATTGCAAGTTTAGGAAAATAATTAAGAGGACAGAACTTTCTATACCTGTCATTAAAAATAAAAGATGAAAACAAAGTTTGAGAAGTATAGTATCTAATAGGAAAAATGATGTGATAGGTACTTGAACCCGGAGATCTCTCTGCCTCCCAAGTGCTGGTATTAAAGGCCTGCTCTTCGGCCACCACTGGGCCTGATTTCAAGGTGTACAAAGGCAGTTGGAGGTATGGACTTGTTGGTCTGTCACTAGGGGGTGGGTTTTGAGGTCTCATTATGCTCAAGTCACACTTAGTGGAACATTCTGTGCCTGCTGCCTGCGGATACAGATATAGAACTCTCAGCTCCTTCTCCAGCACCATGTCTGCTGCCTGCCACCATGCTTCCCACCAAGATGAGAATGGACTAAACCTCTGAAACTGTAAGCCAGCTCCAATTAAATGCTTTTCTTTATAACAGTTGCCATGATCATGGCGTCTCTTCACAGCCATAAACCCTAACTAAGACAAATTACCACCTCTGTTTTGGTCTCTTTAGGAAATGTTTTCTCAGGTTCTTCGGGATCTGAAATGCTTTCCTCATTCTCACTATGGACTCTTACCTTTTAAGTCACTTAAGTACAAAACAGAGCATAATCTTCCCAAGCTCAGGGATTCATGTAGTCTAAATAATTCCAGAAGATCACATATTTCACAATCCAACCACCTCTGCAGAGTCACAAGGACAACAGCCCAAAGAACTGCAGCAGGAATAGGCAGTTGGTAGATCAGGCCAGCCAGGGCTACATAGTGACACCCTGTCTAAAACCCAAAACAAAACAAAACAAAACAAAAAAAACAAACCTTAAAACTAACTGAGGTACTGGCTGCCCTTCTGGGCTCCAAGGGCACTGCACACATGTATAGACTATATGCAAGCAAAATACCCACATATATAAAATTAAAAAGTAAACCAACCTAAAAGAAAATCACCAGGGTAAGAGAACTATACTATAATACAGTGGCTTTTTTTTGGGGGGGGGTCAGTGGAGGGGGCTTGAGACAGGGTTTCTCTGTGTAACAGCTCTGGCTGTCATGAAACTCACTTGGTAGACCAGGCTGGCCTCGTACTTACAGCCGCCTACCTTCGCCTCCCAAGTCCTGGTATTAAAGGTGTGTGCTGTTACCACCCAGCTACAGTGGCTACAAAGGGACTACTCTGTTAGGTAAGAATTTTAGCCAGCCAAACTCTCAAATGACCAAGATACTGAGAGATAAAGGCAGTAGGACAAACAAATGTAATTTCTTGAAACTCCAATTTTAGCACATGAATTTTATCCATCTATAGTTCTTGTATCAGCCAATAACTAGTAAACAGAGCTACATTTCTGGTGAAATATACTGTTACCAAGGAAACCAGACTGAAGTTTAACATGTAATATGCCAGATACAGGACGTAAAAGGACAAGTATTGAAACTACTCCTCCACCATAGCTCCGTGACAAGTTAGCCATCGTCCCCAACAGACAATAACACTGCATCAACTGCCAAGTCACTAATTTCTGATTCAAGATGCTGACTTCCAAACAGTTGGGCTATTCTGTTTTAAGCAAATTTAAAAGACAGAGTAGCCCATGGTGAACTCAATGTAACTCACCCGTGCAGAACTCCTTGCTCACACTATGTGGTACTGTGATCCTACGGTAGACAATAGGCTCTGATTCCAGGATGTTTTCATCATGGCGATACCTAGCAGGGCGTTCATTTGGGACACCCCGGGAACGGGTGCCACTTCTCCTCTCATAAGTGTCAATCTCCTCAAATACAGCTGCCTTGTCAAAAAGGGCTAGATTCCCCTCAAAGTCAAAATCTGTATCTGGGATCTCCTCGATGTCATCTCCAAAACATTCATCATCTTTATTCTTCATTTGGCCATTTTTTAAACCACTTTTCTTTGGGGTTGCCTGGTTTGGGTGCCTGCTACTAGATGACCCTGGGAAAGAAAATAAAGAACAAAGTCAGTGTGTCCATATACAGTATAAATGGAAAATATTAGTCATCTGAGAGTGTTACAGGAATCAAAGGGAAAGGTAGGGTATTTCTAAATCACATTAAGGAGAAAAAAGAGCAAGAACAAAAATCTTATGTGGAATAATAAATTTGAAAAACCACCTAAATAACTAAACATGAAATGAGCAATAATCCACATTTTTTTTTTTTTCAAGACAGGGTTTTTCTGTGTAGTCCTGGCTGTCCTGGAACTTAGTTTGTGGACCAGCTGGCCTCAAACTCACAGAGATCCACCTGCTTTAGCCTCCCGAGTGCTGGGATTAAAGGCATGTGCTACCACTGCCTGGCCTCCTGCAAATCAATCAGTGCTGCCTTTCATAAGGGAAGAGGTGATAACAGAAGTTTTATGTCAATGAGGTTATCAGTACCTCCCAAACTGGCCTTGAACCCCCAAACAGCTAGGATTACATTTGTGTACCACCAACAAAGCAACAGAAGCTTATTAAATGAGAAGTGGAAAGCTAGGATCAGCAGTAAATCCTCAGGTCAGTATGGCTGCTGCCACCAAGGTAAAGAATGAAGTCTACAAGGAGATATTGTTCAGTTCTTATTCTCTGCATACCCAACAAGGTCCTTTCTAACTTAATTTACTATCAGGCTAGCTGGCAGCAGGTAAGAATCCAGACAACAGATTCAGATAGTCTGAAATGTCTTTCAATCTTTGGTTAACATGATCTCTTTTCTCAGAACTTTATCTCTTCTATACATCTTCATTTTCTGGACTATCAAAGACAAGTAACCACAGCAAAATAAACACCAACAATGCAGCAACCAGCCACCGTGCCTCTTAGACTCTACTCGGCTGCTATGTATTATCAACACCACTCTAGCAGTCAAACAGAAAGCCTTGTAAAATTCTCTAACCCAACCATTCACAGAATAAATGACACCTATACATACAGGTAGGCAACTCATTTCGGCTCAACTGCATTGTTCTTTTCACAATCCTTCACTGTGCCAAGAGTTAGAAGATCTTTAATCCAGTTTTGCCATCAAAATAATATATATTCTAGGGGCTGAGGAGATGGCAGTCATTAAAGTATGTGTGAGCAAACAGGAGGACCTGTGTTTGGATCCCTAGCATGGATATAAAAGCTTGATGCAAAGGGGGACACATCTGTAACTGAAGGATCCCTGAGAGCTTAATGGTGACCCAGCCAGCCTAGCCAAATCAATGACTTTCAGGGTCAGTGGAAAGGAATGAAAGAGGACACCCAATGTGGACCTCTGCCATCTACGTGCACTGGCATGCACGCATGCACGTAACCACATGAACATATGCATACAGTTACATACATAACTTGGGGATGGAGTTGAAGCCCAGATGGCAGAGTACTTGCCATGCACACACTAATCCCTGGGTTCAATTTCTAGCACCATAAAGACTGGGAATGATGGGGCAAACCTTTAATCCAAGCACTTGAGAAGGGGAGGCAGGACAGAAACTCAAGGTCATCCATTGGCCTAGGCTACATGAGATCTTGTTTTAAAAACAAAAACAAAAAGCAAATATTATATATAATCATATATTCACTGTTCAACTTCTTAGGGCTTCAATTTCCAATAAGCAAATGTTTATAGCACAGTTTCTAGGCAGTCAATAAACAACTGACAAATTAATCAACACTAAGAGGCCATTTTAACATTATTCTGAAGGGCATATATTATGCAAATATAGCTCATGTTTTTCTAATGCCTCAGTATGGAATATGTGACCTTGATCTCTGAGAAAAAAACAAAACATAAAGAGTAGAGAGACACCATTAACAATTCAAATTATAAACCGATACAAAATAAGAAGTGATTTAGACTAAATTCCATTTTCGATGGTTTGCCAAACATTTACTTAGAGAATGCTGAGTGGTATAGCTAGGTGCTGGGAACACATTATATATAATTAATACTAACTAAGGAGAAATTAAGAATGCAAACAGTGAAAATGCAGTGTTTTAAGATTCAAATCTTAAAAACCTTTTGTTTTTAGGTGGGTGTGTCCCTATAAGAAGATGTCAGGTGTCCTGCTCTATCACTTTCCACCTTATTCCCTTGAGACAAGGTCTCTCACTGAACCTGGAGGTAGGCTGGCAAGTCCCAGAGATCCTCCTGCTCTGACCCCCACAGCATTGGGGTTGTAGGCACAGGATACGCTCAGATTTTACTTTTGTGCTGGAGATCTGAACTCAGGTCTGCATGTTTTCATAGCAAATGCTCCTGCCCACTGAGCCATCTCCTCAGCCCAGAAATTCATAAAGTGCCAGGAGAAAATAGAGCTGGATTAAGAATGGGAGAACGGGTATGAAAATACAAGGATAATATACCATTAGTAATATTTGTAGTAAAAGGGAAGAAAGAACAGGACAAAAGTCAAGCTCTCAAATAAGCAATACATCAACTATCTAGACTGGAAAACAGGCATGTAACCCAATTGCCTCTCTGGTGGATGTACTCATCCCCAGGTCCAAGCAGGATAATACAAATGTTTTGAATATGATACAAAACATTTTATTCACTTTTAATTAAAATTGTAGGAAATTACACTTCATGAATTTAATATGCTGATGGAAACTGGCACCCTATGAGGTTTCATGCCAGCAAATCACTATCATTTCTGAAGCATCTTAAGAAAACAAGTGTGTCCATGTAAGTGGACTTATAAAACTTTCTTGCCCTAGAACACATTGTGCCATGAAGCCCAGCAACAATTCCAGAAAGCTAGAATTACTTGTATGCGCCACACAGTTGGCTGTATCAATATTTAAATTATAACACAAGTCATTTAATGATGAGGACACATTCTAACTATATAATAGTTCTGTTATATAGTTTGGTTGTTATACAACATTATGGAGAGTGGTCACACACAAAGACTGTTCCAACAACAGGCAATAAATCTTGCACATATAGCCAGCTGATGACTGAAACATCATTATGGGACATGGCTTTTTATGTAAAGTTCACCATTTTTGTCCCCCGCCCCCCTCTTTGTTGTTGCTATTGCTGTGTGTGTATTGGTTCTCAGGACTGAACTCAAGATCTTGCATATTTTAAGTAAGTGCTCCATCACTGGGCTAAACACCCCTAGACTTTTCATCATTTTAACTTTTTTTTTTCTTTTAGAGACAGGGTTTCTTTCTCTCTGTAGCTTTGGAGCCTGTCCTGGAACTCATTCTATAGACCAGGCTGGCCCGGAACTCACAGAGATCCACCTAGCTCTGCCTCCAGAGTGCTGGGATTAAAGGCATGTGCCACCACCTCTGGCTCTTTATTTTAGTTTTAGCCGAGACAGAGTTTTGTTATGTATCCCAGGCTACCTTCAAACTAGTTGTCCGCCTGCTTCAGCCTTGAAAATGCTGAAATTGTAGATTTAAGTCATCATGTCCATGCTGCCTTAACCATTGTGGGTTTCCGGTGGTACTGGGGAGCAAGCTCAGGCGCTGTGCTCGTTAGGCATGTACTTTAATTCACCTCCTCTAAACATTTTCAAGTACATAGTTTTCTGACATTAAGTACAGTCACACTGTATAACTATGTCAATTTTAAACTAAAGCACAGAAAAAAAAATGATTACCTGGCTTTAAAAGATTCCAGTTTTGTTTTCGTTAAGTGCATTTAAGAATACTAATGCGAAGTGAACAAGAAAATAGCAGAACTATCATTTTCCCTATTTCTTTTTACTGGTATTCTTTGGACAGCATGAGGTCTTTAAAAATTAATCTGATCAGTAACTTGCTGGCAGAGAGCATTTACCTAATATGCAGGAAGCAACAGATTTAATTCTCATCACTGGGGGGAAGAGGACCTCCCAATTAAAAAATAACAAGCCTAGGGCAGGGCATTGGTGGCACACGCCTTTAATCCCAGCACTCTGGAGGCAGAGCCAGGCGGATCTCTGTGAGTTCGAGGCCAGCCTGGTCTCCAGAGCGACTGCCAGGATAGGCTCCAAAGCTACACAGAGAAACCCTATCTCGAAAAACAAAACAAAACAGAAAACAAACAAGCCTATTCTGTATATAAATCCACAGATTATCACTAATAAATTTCATCCTAAATATGCCATAATAGTGAATGTCTACAAACTAGAGCCTAAAAATCAAATCCAACCAAGCTGTTTCTGCAAATAAGGTTTCAGAAACACAGTAATATTCATCTGTTTATAAATGGTCTATGGCAGTTTTGTCATTGTTTTGTACTTTGTTACAAAGGCAAAATTAAGTATTCCAGATGAAGACTGAAGTCTGTAAAGCCTAAAATTTTTTCCATCTGGCCTTATTTAACTGGATTTGAAATGACCTTCAAAGACTTATGTATTAGAAGTTTGATCTCAAAGCATCAACTTTCAGATGTGGGGCTTTGGGAAAGTGATCAGACACTAAGGCTCCAACCCCATTAATCAGTTCACAATCTGATGGACTACTGGGTGGACAATTTGATGGACTACTGGACTACTGGGAAGTCATGGAAACTGAGGAAGCCACATGGTCTAGTCTAATTCTTTTGTTGTTTTGTCTTGGTCTTCCAGACAAGGTCTCTCTCTCTATGTAGCCCTCACTGTTCTGGAACTCCATGTAGACCAGGTTGGCCTCGAACTCACAGACATCTGCCTGCCTCTGCCTCACAAGTAATGGGATTAAAGGCATGTACCACTCAGCCTGGCTTCTAGTCTAATTCTTTTTTAATTTGTTTTGTTGTTATCGTTGAAACAGGCTCTATGTAGCCAAGGCTAGATTAGAACTCAGGATTCTCCTGTCTTCAACCCTCCCAGAAAAGAAGCATACACCACTACAATCAGTTAATTAGCATTTTATGTCTCATATCTAATGTATACAATTCATAGGTATGGTAAAAGTTAATAAATTATTGAGTCAATCAAGAGCTCTTAATGACTGTCATTGAAATGTCTGATCTGAATACAAGAAACTTAAT